TCGATTAGAGGATTCGAATCGAATTGAGCTAGCAATATCGATATTACGCGTTTAATAACTTGACAGTTAGTGGATCTTTAACAGGAAGATCGAGGATTCGTGGCGTTGACAACGGGCTGCACCAAGAGGTTTCTAAGTTGCGTGGAAGCACGTCCCTAGTTATATAATTCACCGAACTGGTGGTAATTGGTAGTTGCATCTTCAATCAATGCGAGTACATCGTTCTATAATTCTACTAAACTAATTAAATTACAATTTAATTTAATAACGAAGAACGAGATTCAGAAAAATTCGAATCCACCATTCTTCGTTACGAAGCGAGTTTCCAAATCGAGGCGAAATACAACTTTCGCTCCATTCAATTTCGACTTATTTATTTATTTTTTTTTTTCAAAGAATTTAAAAAAAAAATACACGCACAATCTTTAAATATGTATCGATCAATTAAAAGACGAGAAAATTTGTTCCCCGTGTGAAGCTTTCTCGAAGAGTCGTCGAACGTTCCAAGGACCAGAAGTGAAGTTGGAGCGAAGAATCCGAACTCTTCCAGGTTCTTCTTCTTCTTCCTCCTCCTGCGGAGGACCGGTATCGAGGCGCGTACGAGGGAGGGGCGGGCGGAGGAGAGGAGACAGGAGAAACGGCAGGATACTCGATTCCCTTCGCGTTGGGTGATGCTAGGGGCAAGTCGCTTTGTCCAGGAACCGGTCGACGTGCCTACCAGGAGGCAGACACGCATCGATCCGCCAATCGCCGACACTCGAGAAACCGCCAAACCTTCCTCGAAATCATTTTCATCTCGCGGAGGGGAGGAAATCGAGAAAAAGAGAGAGAGAGAAACGAAAGGAAAAATGGAAATCCATCATCTTTTCGTCCAGGAATTCGAATGTTCGAATTTTCGTTTCGTTTCGAAATCGAGATTACAACATTTCTTCGTTTGTTGTTGAGGCGGATTGGTAATAGCTCGAATTACATCATCAGATTTGGATATTGATTCATTTAATCGCGAGGATCGGCGCGAGTTTTTTGGCGAGGAGGGAGGGATGAAACGGTTCTCTCGCGCGCTTTCGAAGGGTGGAAAGGTGGATCAAAGGGCGGGTTGATGACTCGAAACGACGAGCGAGCGAGCGAGCGAGCGAGCGAGAATTAATAGCAGGGAACACGTGAGAGGTCGAGGGGGGGAGGGGTTGGATGGAGGCGAAACATGGAAGGAAGGGAAAATATTGCGGTTTCGATAAGCTTTATTGTTGTGGAGGTGAAAAGCTGTGCCGGGATGAAAAACGGGAGGAGGGAGGGTTGTGCGAGTGGAATAGGAGAAACGAGGCGAAGAGTGAAAGGTGATTGAAAGTTGGCGAATCAAAGGTCTGTGAAGAATCGGGGACGAGGAGGAGATGTGTTGGGTTAGGTTTGCGCGTCATTCAGAAAAATTCGTTTCATTGAAAAATATGGGAAATGGTGGAACGGATTGGCGCTGTTTCATAACGATATTTCAAATTTATCACGTTTCGAGCGAAATTTTTTAATCGCGCTAATCACCAGGTTATTTCAAGTTTTATTTCTTCGTGATTTTTTTTTTTTTTTTGATGGAATTAATCTTTTTGGAATTTTTTCCCATAACTTCAATTTGTCTTATCGTTGTACTAGTTTAAGTTTCGTTTAAGTATATATATATATATATATACGATTAAATTATTTGCATGAAAAATCACGACGAAGGATACGTCTCTTGGAATTTCTCGATGGAAAATTCGAATTGGCGGATCCATTTCACGCTCGTTTGTCAATTGCTCTTCGCACATGCTCATTCTCCATCCTCTTTTATCCTCTTTTCTATATCGTCATCTTTCTTCCCTCTCTTTTTTGATCAAAATTTTTCATCTTTTTCCCTCCTCCTTCTCTTTCTTAGTCTATCTATAATTTTCTTCTTTCTTCACCTTTTCTTATCTCTTCACACAATCATCGTTTATCAATTGCTCTTCGCGCAAAAATTTATCAATCCCTCTTCACACGGTCATTCATCGATTCCTTTTCACACGCTCATTTATCAATTCCTCGCGATACGATCTCCGGATAACGCAAATATTTGCCCACCCTGTTAATATTGATAATCTATGCTAATTGGACAACGTTAATTGATCGATCAACTAACCAACCTTATTAGAATAACACGTTACCCCTTTTGTATATACACCCTTAACCCCTCGTCGTACGTCAACATCCTTTTATCCAGCTTATAAATGCTTCTCGTATTTTTCGCGACAAGATTTCCGAACGAAGCTAGATCCCCCGTTCGATATTTACACGTTACGAGAGGAATCTCTATATAATCAATCGTCGAAAAGCAAAAGGAACGATTACGAATATAATTGAAAAAAATCATTTTCCCTGTTATTTTTCATATATACTCTTTCCAACGATTAATTAACACGGTTGCACAATTTTCGATAAGAAAGATCTCTCGAATTCTTCGATTCACCCAACTTTCTCACGATCGTACGTGACGATGTAACGCTTTTATCCAGAGAGAGAGAGAGAGAGAGAGAGAGAGAATTCCGCGTATCAACCTCCACACGCGTCGCCCATTAAGCACTGTCGTGGCCAGGCCCGATCCCAGCGAAAGTGCAATTCGTTACCTCGGCTGGAACAATAGCATCTTTTTATCCGGATCGAATCCGCGCGATACCAACGCTTTCTTTCCTTCTTAAACCCTTCCTCTTAAAACCGAAACCGAACCTTTCACCGAGCTATCCATCGATCCACTATCGATCCACCCTCCCTCTCGTTCCTGTAATTTGTTGCGCGGGCGTCTCTTCCGGGGAGGGGGTCCCGTAAATCGCTCTATTAAAACTCACGCTCGAGGAAACTCGATCGAGGTTGAGGATGGATATACGCGAGGAAATAGATTCGATTAATTAATCGCGAGGGATCGCAAGAATCATTGGACGTAATACTTGGACACGATTTGACATATTTTTACAATTTTTTTCTTCCTTTTTTTTTTTTTTTGTCGAACTAATAAAACTTGGAAAAGACTCTGCCCCTCTCAAAATTTTTCGAACGAATAAAAATGGAAAAACTAATCCAGTCGTCGCGTTCACGTTCACGTTTTTTCGTCGTTTTCAATGGATTCGAATATCGCGTGCGGTTGGTGGATAAACGAGGTTCGTCGGGCAGATTGTTAAGCTTATCGAGGCTCGAACGATTGTTAAGAGAGAAATGACGGTTGTTTCTTTCTCTCCCTCTCTCCCGTTTGGCGGATCGATCGGGGAAGATTGATGGCGACGCGGTTAAAAGTGTCTCGATGGCACTCGATCGGGTGAAAAGCGGGGCGGGGGGATGGAGGCCGAAACGCGATTAAATCTCGCCGCGAATTCTAAATAATACGTTGAAAGCGGTGCGGTGACCCTTGGCGCGCGATCGATCAGGCCTCGACAGAATTCTCTTCTCCCCCCCTCCTCCGTCGTTTCGCGGATTCTCGGACGGCGATCATTTCGCAAAGATTTTTACCACGAAATCGCGCGCTCGAAAAGTTGCCCGTTTTATTTCATCCCCTTCTTCCCCGCCGTTTGATAGAATTTTATTTAAATTTTGACGACGAACCATCAAATTCTCACGCGAATAAAAATCTGTTCGTTGCTCACGAACCGCCCTTTAACACCAAACCTACGGTCAAATGATCGTTTTTGATCGCATTTCCTTTAGAATTTCTTGTATACAAAGTTGCTGTATCGCCATATGACTTATCGACTCTTTCTATAACGTAGATACAACCCATTTTTCAATGTTCACAACTTTCTGCGAATTGTTTACTTTACGAGTCCAAATTAGCTAAAATCTCTTTCTATATTAAGATACAAATGCTTTTTTGACCGCTCATGATAGGAATAGGTATACATGAAATGTCGGTAGGTTTGGTGTTAATATCTAATATCGAACAAGGATGGTCAAGAAATGGAAATCTGCTGCTACAAATTAAAAATTTATCGCTTCGACCAATTATTCAATTAACAAAATCCCAAATACGTTCCTCCTCTCTGGATAAGATATATCCATAAATTCGAAGATATTCGAGAAAGAGAAGAGCTCTCTAATTAACATCCACCCACCCAAAATTCCCCTGCACCCACCAACGAATCGATCAATCGCCATCCTCGGAGGAACAGGTTGTCTGCCTGCCTCCCCCTCCCCCTTATATACATACACACATATATACACGACTCCTGGTGACCTCGAGGACGCGCGAACCGCTCGATTCCCGCGAAAATATCCGTGAGCGGCGGCCGCCTCGCCATCCTTCGCCTCGGTGTGGATGCACCGTCGTCGCCTGGTACTTGGAAATATCGCGGTTGAAGAGGGCCATCGATCGTATATCAAAAGGCGGCAGGAGACAGCGTGGAACGCCGGCAAAGAGGCTCGCGCGCCTAGGTGTTCGAAGCAAGCCAGCCGGCCGGCCGGCCGGCCAGCCAGCCAGCCAGCCGGACCAGTCGACTTGCATACCGCCAGCCCAGCTTCGCGGCCAGCCTCTACCTGCATTCCAACCTACCAGTCGACCTCATTCCGCCATTATACTATTTCATTCTCCTCTCTGCCTCCCCCCACCTCCCCCTGTCTAGCTCTATCCTCGTCCCCACGCGCCGTCTTTGTCCATTCGTGTGTGTGTGTGTGTGTGTGTATGTGCGTGTGTTTAATGTTCGCGGTGAGAGAGAGAGAGAGGGGAGAGGAAAGAAAGGAGATTTCGAAGGACGCGAGGAGAGGAAGGAGTTGATGATGATCAACGCGGAGGTGAAGATCACGTTGGGGAAGATTTTAATCGTGGGTGATTAATGATTGTTCTTTAAGGGTGGGAGGAATTAAAGGGCGAGGTATCGAAACGAGATCGAAAATTCTATTGTGTTTCTTGTTTGGGACTTGTGATTAAACGAAGGGAAATCCCGGTCTTTCTTGGATATCTTGAAAGTGATTCAAGGAATTTTAATATTTTAATATTTTAGGAGGGGGAGGGGATGGAGGAAATGATCCGAGGGAATTGTGTTAACGTCGGAATAAATATTGCGAGCAATTATGTGAAAGAGAGAGAGAGATAGAGGAAAGGAAAAATATATATGAAATATCGTAGAGAGGATAGGTAAATAATCTGCGTGAATATTATAACTTGAAAGTTTTATGCCCGGTTTAAATCCTCCAACTGGTATCTGGTTTTCTTTCTGGTATTCACGCGCCTGCATTTTACTCGTATCTTATTTCCTCTATCGAGTTAATTTAATTCCTTCCTTCGTTTTTTTCTTTTCTCTCTCTCTCTCTCTCTCTCTCCCCTCTTCAAAAGCATACCTTTGAAACGTAGATATCGTATTCGATAAAAATATTCGTTCGTAATAAACGAGCGTGTTTAAAAAGGGGTCCCTCGCAGGAGATCTGCAACAATTTTGCAAATGATCACGAAATAATCGTTGTATTATAATTTTTAAAAGAATAACATACAAACGTTCACCGTGTTACACTTCCAATTCTCGAAAAGAGAAAGTTCTTCCGCATACAAATTCATCAAAATTAACAAGATCCTCCTCAAACATCGGTCCTCTTCAAATATTGGCCTGTAATACATCGTTCTACAATTACGTTCCATTCTTTGTATTTGAGAAATATAATCCATAACCCCGATATTTTCCATATAAGAGCAATAATACACACAAACAAGGAGCTCGTATTAAATTCAATATTTGTATATTTTTTTCTTTTCTTTTTTTTTTTTAGGACAATAAAAAAAAAGATAAAGGCTCCCTTCTTTGAACATCGATCTATCGACACACATTTCTACAATTACATTCCCATTCTCCTCGTGTTTAAAACTCGAGATTTGTTCCACAAATCCTCAAAAAAAAAAAAAGAAAAAGGGAAATCTATCTAAATCTAAATTTTCGCGACACACGATCCGCAAAATTCGATTCCCCGAGTTCGAATTCAAGTTCAAACGAGAAAAAAAAAAAAAATCCAGAAAAGGGAACAATAATCGAAAAAAGAAAAAAAGAAGAGAGCATCCTCTCGTTTTGGATCCATAGCGGAAGAGGATCTCGCGCACAGATGCAGCCACCCCCTCGTTCACTTCCGGCATCGTTCAGGTCGCGCAAAAACTTCTCGAGTGGTTTTTTATCGCCAAACTTGCCTTCCACCCTTTCTTCTGGCGCGGCTCGTCGATCGAGATTCCCTTTCTCTCTCTCTCTCTCTCTCACGCGAAATTACCGTGGAAGAGAGAAGTTGGAGGGGGTTGGATAAGTTCTTGCGAACAAGGAGCGCTTGTGATTACCGTGACTCCGGTAATTGCCCAACTTCACGGCTGCTGTTTTTCCGTGTACATGTTTGAGGATCGTGTATTTTTTTTTTTTTTTTTTCCTTTCTCTCGCGTCCGCTTCTCCGTGACTCGTGGATTAATCGGCCCCTTCCATTCGAGGCTCTTCGAGTAAATAGAATTTGTTCTCTTTCCGCGTGTTTTGACGTAATATCTATAACGGACATCTTTTTTCGATTTTGTTTATTCGCGCGCGTCATTCGGCGCGTTGATTGAATGATTTTATTTTTTAAAAAATACGTATTTACGAAGAATCCGTGTCACACAAGATTCTTTGGCCATGATCAATTGATTTGTAAAAATACGAGAAGATATAATATAATTTTTAGATCAATTTTCTAATCGATTTGCTCGACTTTTAAAACGATCGTGCTCCTTTCTTCCATCCCCTGTTTAAAATCGCAAATCGATATCCAAACACAAGAACGATTAAATCGAAGCGAAAAAGTTGGAGGAAGGGAAGAGGAAACGCTTTTATCAGGACAGTTGACGAAAGCCCCTTTCCCACTATTGTGTCCTGTTGGCCGGTGTTAACTTTCTCAACAAGTTTTCACCCCGTAAATTACCCCGCCGGGTTTATTAAGGCCAGCTACTTTCGTCACGGCTCCACGTCATCGGGTTCGATTCTTCTCTCTTCCTCCTTTCCACGCCCTCCTCCTCCTTTGCCTCTCCTTCATTTCGACGGATTAACTCGTTCGAGGCCGAAGAGGGAATCCATTAAAGCCGACGATTCCCTTCTTGCTTGCCAGATTCATTTCGATTCGATGAATATCGACCAATTTTTTTGTTTCAAGGTATCGATTACATTTGAAACGATGATGGATCGAACAATTCTAATTTCCTTTGGCGTGGAATACGGAAATTTTATTCCAGTTAGTTTGAGGGATTTAAAAATTCCCCAGCTTTTACAATAATTCCAATCTCCTTTATTTATCGATTAGTAATTTTGTGATTAATCGATCCAATTTCCTACAACAATTCCACTTCCTCGTGTAAATCTCGTATACTTCATCTCACTATCAACGATTTTAGAGTAATCCAAGTATATGATCCAGTTTCAACTTCAATTTCCTAACATGCTCGTGTATTATATTATATACACACAAGTGCAACGAGAATTTTTTCGAAAGAAAGGGATCAGTGTATTCCTCGGTGAATAAATGAAATGGAAATCTAGCTCGAGATTAGTTCGAATTTGCCGATATTCGAATATAATCGAGAGATCAATTGATACAATTTCAATTTTGGACGATTGTTGGTGAATTCCTTAACGAAAATAACGAAAACAGATACGTGATCACGGAGCTGCTTCAGAGCGATTTGCACAAGATCATCGTCAGCCCTCAGCATCTAAGTCCCGACCACATCAAGGTCTTCCTGTACCAGATCCTCAGAGGTGAGTGAAAATGTTTCTTTCTTTCTACCTATTCTCTAAATATTCTCTTTTTCTCTTTCTCGTCCAATTGTATACAATTAAAATTTCACACCCATCAATTTTTTCAATTAGAATCGATTAGAAAATTAATAAGATCTCGAGTCGATAATATTCGAACAATCGAGTAACAAATTCAACAAACGCGAAATTTTGCCGCGACTATTTTCAGAGACGCAGCTCCAGATACAACTATGGCTATGACTCAAACCTCGTTCACTCGTGAATCATCGCTAATTAATTCGAAAACCCGATTACCCCTGTCTGTCGACAATTAATCGCAATTCGATAAATCGTACACGTATCTCCCTTCTTTAATGTATCCTAGCCCCAAGTTTGAGTGAATTTTCGAAAACGGGGCACCGTCTGCGACGGATAGACGCGGATGATTTACGTTTCGTTCCGCGAGTTTTTCACGAGCGTCGCGTGAAGGCTCTAACTTCGAAGAAACTCTCAGTATATGTATATATGTATACAGAGAGAGAGAGAGGAGAGTATTCGGCGCGGAGGCCATTTTGTCGGAGCGAGCCTTCTCGGTTCGTTAGCCACGAGTCAATTTCCTGCGAGCCTCCGAAACGCAATGATTTGCATGCTTTCCTGCTTGTATCGCGGAAATCGCGCCGGTTTTTTTTGCGAAAATATACGCGAATCGAAGGAGAGAGGGAGAGAGAGAAAAAATATGCGATTTCGTATTCGCGATTCTTTTTTCGAAAATTTTTGCACCGTGATTCTACTTTTCCTTCCTTTCCGGAGGAAAAAGGAGGCGACGAAACGTCGAATGTTCCGTCTAAATTTTTCTTTCGAATTCCTTCAACTCGAAATAAAAACACGTATTAATTGAAAAATGGCGGGCAGAAAAGTTGGCGCGGTTTAAATCGATCAAACGTAATCAAACGCAACATTTTTCTCTCTCGTCTTTTCTTTCTCGCGATTATTCTCTATCTCTATTCGATCGAGGAAAAAGGAACGCAACACAGGAGGAGAATAAATAGGTTCCTCTCGAGCGAATCGGAAAAATTTCAGGAAAATTTCGAACGATGTTTCCTTCTTTAATTCGTGTTCCAATCCAATTGTTCGAACCGAGACCACGAAATAATCGTGAAAATCGTTCAATGAACAAAAGTTTGATTTCGTTATTAACACGCTCCGCTACTCGCTCTCTCTTTTTTAATAACAATAACCGTTTAATTTATTTACAATTAATCTAAATTAATTTACTCACCGAACGATATTATAATATTCGTTCGACGGGAGAAACACGACCGTACCGCTCGGCGTCCGGAAAACGACTCCGTTCGAAATCGATATTTCGGATATAAACAAACGAGCGAATGTTGTCGTTTCCCGTGCCGCGGTTCGTGTAACAGTATTTATATGTAAGAAATATTACAGAATATTTGCAAAACTCTCTTTCTTGATTCCTGAATAATTGTTTATCGTTATTTTTTTTTTTTAATGCATCTCGTATCGAGTTTAAACTTCGAAGAAACTCTCAGTATATGTATATATGTATACAGAGAGAGAGAGAGGAGAGTATTCGGCGCGGAGGCCATTTTGTCGGAGCGAGCCTTCTCGGTTCGTTAGCCACGAGTCAATTTCCTGCGAGCCTCCGAAACGCAATGATTTGCATGCTTTCCTGCTTGTATCGCGGAAATCGCGCCGGTTTTTTGCGAAAATATACGCGAATCGAAGGAGAGAGGGAGAGAGAGAAAAATATGCGATTTCGTATTCGCGATTCTTTTTTCGAAAATTTTTGCACCGTGATTCTACTTTTCCTTTCCTTTCCGGAGGAAAAAGGAGGCGACGAAACGTCGAATGTTCCGTCTAAATTTTTCTTTCGAATTCCTTCAACTCGAAATAAAAACACGTATTAATTGAAAAATGGCGGGCAGAAAAGTTGGCGCGGTTTAAATCGATCAAACGTAATCAAACGCAACATTTTTCTCTCTCGTCTTTTCTTTCTCGCGATTATTCTCTATCTCTATTCGATCGAGGAAAAAGGAACGCAACACAGGAGGAGAATAAATAGGTTCCTCTCGAGCGAATCGGAAAAATTTCAGGAAAATTTCGAACGATGTTTCCTTCTTTAATTCGTGTTCCAATCCAATTGTTCGAACCGAGACCACGAAATAATCGTGAAAATCGTTCAATGAACAAAAGTTTGATTTCGTTATTAACACGCTCCGCTACTCGCTCTCTCTTTTTTAATAACAATAACCGTTTAATTTATTTACAATTAATCTAAATTAATTTACTCACCGAACGATATTATAATATTCGTTCGACGGGAGAAACACGACCGTACCGCTCGGCGTCCGGAAAACGACTCCGTTCGAAATCGATATTTCGGATATAAACAAACGAGCGAATGTTGTCGTTTCCCGTGCCGCGGTTCGTGTAACAGTATTTATATGTAAGAAATATTACAGAATATTTGCAAAACTCTCTTTCTTGATTCCTGAATAATTGTTTATCGTTATTTTTTTTAATTGCATCTCGTATCGAGTTTAAATTTTAAATTTTGAAATTAATTATTAATCTTTCTCTCGTCTCGATGAACGTTGCCACTCGCGCCATTAAACAAAAATTATAATGAAATATAATATACAGAATATTTGCGGAACTCTTATTGTTGACTTCTGAGTAATTGTTTATCGATTATTTTTTTTTTTTAATGTATCTCGTATCTCGTAATATTTAAATTTTAAAATTAATTATTCATCTTTGTTGCCATTAAACGAAAATTATAATCAATACCCGACAACGAAAATCTGCTTAACAAAAATCTGTAACGGTATTTCAACAATGCAATTGATATCGAGTTATAAATAATAAACGTTACATATCATCGTCGCTGTTAATATCGCTGTAAATAAATATGAAATCGCTCTAGAAATGATTTCTACCAAAAATTTGCCGCGGTTCGTAACAGTGTATTAAAATAAAAAGCATCGTAAAAAAGTAATCGAATTTCTAAAACACCCCGATTCATTGTTGACTTTTGAATAATCATTATTCATCGATATTTTCAAAAAAGAAACGCGATTCCCTTGTGAATTGAATTTGAAATTTTAAAATTAATTATCAATTCATATTTATTGCTTCAACTCGTTCCTACTCGCACCATTCAACAATCATAACAAATACTTATCGATTGTAAGTCAACTTAACCAAAAATCTACATGATTCGACGTAATAAAAATTGAGTGTAAATAACAAACCTTGTGTATAAACATGGCATATCCAAATATTATCACATTGCTGTAAATTTATATAATTTTTATCGAAAACCCACTTTTCCATTCTTCTCTGTTAAATAAATCTGACGTTAAAGGAAAATCACCGAGGAAATAAAATAGAGGGTAAAGGGAGCGAGTGAAAAATCATAATTTTTCCACGGGGATGGAAGAGAGAGAAAAGAAAAGATTAAAGAGAGAATGCGGACGGAAAGTGAGATGGATCGTTTCGCGAGAGAAACGCGGCTTGGAAAGCTTGGCGGTGGAACACGAGTGGTGGTGCGGTTAGACTTTCAAATGAGGAGGGATTTAGCGTTTTAACAAAGAAGCAGAAACAAATGAGGGGGGGGGAGGTATATCGCGGGGAATGGCGGGGGTTGACGACTTCTTCTTCCCCCGCCCTCTTGATAACAATTATCGTTGCGAGGAGGAAAGGTTCCGTGGTGGAGAAACGAAGCAAAGATCGAGATCGAAATCGGGTAATTTTTGATAGTATCCCTGTTGCAACTTGTGCAACGCTCGAGGTCGCGACGAGAAAATCGACGGATTTTTATGGGGTAACCATAAAAAAACCGTTTTCTTCAACGGTTATCCGTATTTTTTTTATCGAATTTTAAAGAAAAATTATTGTCATTAATCGTTAAATCGTACCCATATTTGTGTATGCATAAATATTAATCCAAGATTGATCAATTAAAAAGAATAATTATTTCAAATATCTTCCAATTATACACTCGCGTTGCAACGAGAAATTTGTAGAAATTTTTGTACAAAAAAAAAAAAAAAAAGAAAAGAAAAGATCAAGATTGGATAAATTTAATAGAAATTAAGAAAGAGGGAATGTTGGGATTCCTGGAAATTTGAGAAACAGAAGAGGAAGAATTTCCCTCCAATCGGGATTTTCCCAATTCTCGAAACTTTGGGGAAAGATGGGGGCAATATCGAATACTCGAGGATTAATTAATCTCTATTTCACGCGATCGTATCGCGTCTGAAAAGTTCCTCCATTTGGAAAACTCGTTGGCGGAATGATATCGATTTCCCGAAACCTGGATAGGTATCCATTGTCGGGATGAGGGTGGATTTCTTCAGA